TGAACCTGCCCAGCGCTGACTACAGGAAGCCCGAGGCAGAGTTGCTCTGCCCCAGGCTTCCTGGAATCATCCGCTGATCAGTTTCAGCAGCAGCTGACTTGGGGACGCCTGGGTTTCTTAAGTTGAATCTGTATGTAAGTCAGAACTGGCGTCCAGATTCAGCCGTGGTTGAAACTGATCAGTTTCAGCAGTGGCTGACGTCAGTTCCGACTTACATAGAGTTTCAACTTAAGAACAAACCTACAGTCCCTATCTTGTACGTAACCCGGGGACTGCCTGTATTTCAGTTTTACTTTTTTAGTTTGTAATCCAGTTGAGATGACCTATGTTTCTAATGACCAGTGTACAAAAGAACCCACATGCACCAAAATACACAGCTGAACACACAAAAGAAAGAAATAACCAGGTATCTTGAGAACATTTAAATAAAATCTGTATGCAGAGATCATGGAGTGCATTTTGGTTATAATACTTTGCTTTTTCCCCATTCTTTTTTTTTTCTCAATCTACAAAAAGGCTGAAAATAGTCATATAGTCACAGTCTGCCATTTTTTGTGGGTGCAAGAAATTATGGGATTAGGGTCATTAGACAAAGGTGTTTTATGGGTTATAGATTTCAAAAATAGTGGTTGTATGGAAGAGGTTTCTCTCTTATTGCTGAACTCTACCCTGTCCTGAAAAACAATTGTTTCCAGAGATTGGAAAATGCTGCTTCATGAGGCTGTGAAGCTGCCTCCACAGCTGAATGCTGGGTAAATTTTCAGAGCTGCTATTGAATTGAACTAAAAGTAGCAGCAAGAGAGCAAGTGGGAAAGCAGTAACCTAAAGACTCAAGGATTTTGCAGTTTTCGGCCACTGACAGTAACTCACTGGGACTCTCCTCATGACCTACATTAAGTTGTGCCTCTAGTCAAGAACTGTTGTTTGCAGAAGCTAGAATAATGCAATGTGCTTACAGTAGTAGCATACAGAAACCAGAGTATTTGTACAGGAGGCCTCATGGACAAATGCAGTTCTCATGCCAGATTCTCAAAAAGATTTGCCAGAATTCATAGGGCTTTCTTCCCAGATGATTCATTTGTCAAACTTGGCTGATGTATTAATTTTCACTGAAATTATGCAAAATATAATAGAGGTCCCAAATTGATTTTGTGGTAATACTTGTGAATGGGTGCCTCAGAGTGGATTTATATAATAGTGCTTCTTACTGGATGCTGATGTCTAAGTTTAATTAAAAACTGTATTTCTAGAAACTATGATCTGCAAAGATTAGGGTTGTCATTTTGTTTCTGTTGTGTAGTGGTTATCACATTTGCTTAACACACGAATGGTCCCTGGTTCAAAACCAGGCAGAAACACAGCGTCTTGGCGATTGGATTCAATGACTTCCTGAGATCTCTTCCAATCCTATGATTCATTCAGGATACTCATAGGATAATGATTTCAGTGTATAACTGCAAAAGATTTTCTGGTGAGTTTATTTTCAGTTATTTCCCCAGTCTTGCTTTTTGTCCTCTACCCATTTTATCATACAAAAGGGGCCTGATTCTTATCTTGGGAATCAGTTATACACTGATACAATTCCAATGACTTCAGTGGCATGCCTCTTGATTTATAGTTGTGTACATGAGACCATCAGTGGCTTTAGGATTCAGTCCTCACTGTACCTCTTTCTCTTTCTGCCCCTTCCATATTTGTCTGCCTTGTGTCTATCGATCTTTTGCATTTACTATTATTGACAAGAAAAATGGTTTATGAAAGCCTATTTAATGCTGCCACCTTTTTTCTATTGTCCATGCTGCGACATGTGAGGACATAGGCTGTTTGTTCACTTTTCACAGGCGTTTGTATGTATTTTGAAGATTAAATATCAGTTGTTAACTTTTGATCTCAGTTACACCGGTGTAAATCTGGAGTTTAAATAGTGGAGTATATTCAACGTGATTCACTGGCATTTATAACTGAGATGAGAATCTTGTTAAAGGCTTGCTTGTCTTTAAAATACCTTTAAGCTTGTAGAATAAAAGTTTCCCAGTCTCTGACAGTCAGCTTACTATTTTTCTAATTAATCATGATCTGTCAGGGCTGCTACTGTTAATGAAAGGACTAAAGAATGTTATAGAGAAATAAACACGCGCTTTACGTATAAGGGACCATGTATTTGATTAGATAATAAATGTGAAGGTCTCAGAGGAAACAGTGTATGGGGGAAAACAGCGACAAAAAACAATTAAACCTTCCCACTGAAGAGGACAGGACATTATACAAGTGAGGTGAGTGAGGACAGGAACTTTTTTTGGTGATGTTCCACCTTGCATACTACCTATTTTTTTCTCTATCCTCCAACTGCTATATAAAGATCAAAGTTGCATTCCCTAAGATAATTTTCTTCCGACAATGTCACAATTCACCTATTGTTCCAAAGTGACAAACAAACACATTTGTTCTCCCTCCCCACACCTCACAATATTTAATAATGGAAGGGAGGTGTTTGGCTCTTCTGAGTGACTTCTGCTCAGCCAAGCTAATTCCATTATCCATTAGTCATGTTTACAGCAAGCTAACTGCTAATAACTCATGCGGAACTCTGTAACCATTTTTAATCTTGCTCTTCATTCAAGTCAGTGCTCAAGGAGCCTCGCTTTCCTTGATTATTAAAGATGATGTGCAAGTATCCTGTCAGCTTTTAGTTCATGGAATCTGAATGAGTATGAGGTCAGGCTTTTCAATCTGTCTGTGTGGATTGGCATATGATAATTGCAGGTACCTCTCCTAAAAACGGGTAGAATTGACTATCTAAGACAGGGCCTTGGCAGACATTAATGCTGCATTCATTCTTTCACAACCCACAAAATTATTAAATTTTTACTTCCAAAAAGAATGGGGAGAAAAACTGTTGAACAATGAAGTCTCCTGTCAGTTCTGTATGTGTGGAGCTTTTTTTAGGAAAATGATCTTACAAATGATTTCTGAATCCCAACAGACAGACAGAAGCAAAGGATGAAGTCAGACGGAAGAAAAGGATGCCTGACTTATTTTTAAAAAAATCACCTCTTAATACATTTCTGACTGACTTATATGATTCAAAATAGCTTCAGTAATAGGAAGCATTAATTATTTTATCATCCTAAATGGTGAACATTGTATGTATTGTTATATGCATGTAATAATTAAAAAAACCTTCTGTGTACAGCACAAAGATGTTGACAGTAGTGATATACACAAAATTTGAAAAAACAAACAAACAAACCACAAGTACCCAAACTTCTATTCAGCCCAGGACCAAAAATTTTGAGCATTAATCTGCATTATTTTTTCACACAGTAGGAGATTTGAGTGCACAATAATTTCAAAAGAACCTTTTGAGAAATCTATGGTATGATCTTGACCATGCCAGCCACTTAAATGTTGTTAATTTTTGTGGGTGTGTTTTTTTGCAAAAAGTCCATTCTCTGACCATGCAAGACTAATTGTTTTGAACAAAGACTAAATTCCGAGTCTCAGAATCACTTCTGCATCATATTAGGAGGTCAGGATGAGAATGGTCTCTTCTTGACTTAAAACCTATTCCCCCAAAAAACCCTTATTTATAGAAATAAGGTACCTATGTATAGAAAAATGAAAAATAAATAAACTAAATTAAAATATTTAGACAGACTGGTAAGGGAGGGAAATCCCTGGGAATGAGATCTATTAAAATGTAAAGAAAATCCTCCTCCTCTCTTTGCTGGAGAGGAAAGGCAAAAACATTTTTTTTTTTCAGAAAAAAATATATTCATGTAGATGTTAGTGAGGTGAAAAATGTCTGTGGGGCAAGATTTTGATCTCAGCTGCTCCCCTGTAAATCTGGAATTACTTCGTTTAAAAAAACCCCCAGGATTCTAAGAAAATACTTTGGATATATGGAGTAGACTATTCATTACACTTTTTATTCATTACACTTCAGAGTTGTTGGTAGTAGCTATGGGAAGATACAGGTATTGTTTTAGGTTAAAAACTATTGCAAATTAATATTTGTAAATAAAATAAGTGTTATAGGACTGTGTTCTGATCTTATTTAGGCTAAGTCTACACTGGTACTTTACAGAACTGTACCTTTCTGGCTCAGGAGTTATGAGAAAAATTCCCCCCACCCCCAGCACAGCAAGTTACAGTGCAGTAAAGTGCCAGTATGAAACAGGCTACAGTGCAGGGAGCCACACTTGCAGTTAGTTACTCCCCTCAGAGAGGTGGTTTTCATAGTGCTCTGGAAGAACTCTCTCCTAATGCACATGGTTATGACTAGTTTAGAATGCTGCCATGACAGTGCTGCCATGGCTGATCTTTAAACTTTTAAGTGTAGACAAAGCCTTAGAGCTACATCAAATTCAGACTAACTCCATTGACTTAAACTGAAATAACTCCACTGAACAAAGTCTGTCATCAGAATCTAACCCTACAGTGCTTCTGCTCATTTTAAAAAATAATTTAATTTGAAGTATAATGGATAAACCCTCTTGTGTATTTTTCAAAAGTGCTGAGGTCAAATCCTGTAGACTTGTTTTCGTATGCATTTTTCATACATTTCCATGACCTATGATGTGCTGCATTTTTAGAATATTTTTTAAAAAATAAGTCCTTTTTCCTGACTTGGTAGAGCAGTTGCCTGTGGATCAAGAGTACCAAATGTTATCTGGTGTTGCTTGGGCCTTTAACTGAGATAAGTTTTGTTTTTCTTCATTTAAATAATTGTTCTGGGATGGCGGTTGGGGGTGAAGGGTTCAGTACAAAGGCTGCCCTGGGGAGAGAGGGCAAGCCCAGCCCTCTCTTACCACAGCAGCTTGGTGCCAGGTGAGAAGTGCCTCTTCATGGCGACTGCAGCTGCAGTGGGTACAGCCGGGGGAGAGGTGCATATCCCCTGGCTAGGGGACAGACAGACACTCAAACAGACAATATATGGTAGATAGCTCTTCCTTTTTCCACCCTGCCTCTTGCTGGCCAAGTGGGTTTATAGTTGTCCTGGTCCCCATCTCTGATCCATTGCTTCCCTCGGTGGTCATTCTATAGCAAGGGTGAGGAATCTCAGACCCAAGGGCCAGATACAGCCCCTGGCTTACCTGAATGTGGCCCCCAAGGCTCAGGGTTCTTCCCCCAGCATTGTGGAGCCTGTGCTGGCACTCCAACCCCTCCTTCTCATCCCACCATGGGGCTGGAGGACATGGAATCTATTAGCCTGATCCCTGCTAGGTGCTGGTGTATGAGGGGAATGTGGGGAGTGCAGTTTTCCTTCTCTATCAGGAGCCATGTCAGTGAGGGGGCTTTGGTGGTTGTTGTTGTTTCTCACTTGTATGTAGTCCTCGACTGATTTTTACGTGAGTCAGTGGCCCCTGACCCAAAAGTTTCCCCATCCTTGTTCTACAGTATACCTGTCCCTCCTACCAGACTCCTTGCATGATATGAGAAATAAATAAAATTCCAGGCACATCCCATTGTCCTGGGAGTAGAAAACCCTTACCTTGCTTTTAGTTATAAGAGGAAGCTGCATAGTAAATTTGATGGTTCTAGCTCATACTGTTTAGGATGAGCTCCTGAACAAGTGGACTCACAAATAGATGGACACACAGAGAGAGAAACTTTCTAAATTATATAGTTGTCATGCTGATCATTTACAGGATGCACGGAAGTCAATGGAAAACATTTCATTGACTTCAGTGGGGTTTGGCTCATGTCTAAAGTCTGTTCTGTTACTTCAATTAGTACTGAGGGGTGAAAAGAGAAATGTGTAGGGATACAATGCGGGAAAGCAGACTCTGAGCTGAGGGACTCTGAGATGGCTGCTGGCCCATATTTAGCAGGGATTTTACCAATAGGGATGCTGCAGCTGTGGTAGGCAGCATGCGACAGCAAAAATCTTTGTGCTTATCAGTGCAGAGGAAAATGCGTATTTCATGTTTGTAAAACCAAACTGGCCATTTACTAAAACAACCATGCTGCATCTTTAGCTAGCATTCCAGCCACATAGACTGACTTCCATGGTGCGCCATGTAAATATGGTCTTAAACCCAAGTTTCCTTTCCAGACTTTTGTTATGTTTTTGAAAGTGTTTTTTGGCTGGTAGGGGTCAGAGGTTACTAGTACATGGCTCACCCTCGGGACACTGCTGTAATACCAACCCATTGTAGCCTCTTAGGACTTGTAGTCATTTATATGTGTTGGTCTTCAAATGAGCCTGCCACTTTGTGTTGGTGGAAGATCAGTTTCTATCATTGGTGAGCGGACAAATGGAAAGCTACTGGCCACATGATGCCCCCCAGGTCCAGGGAAGGGTTGGGATAACCCCTCTCCACCTTATGCTCCACCTCTCCTCATCCTCACTCCACCCCGCCTTCTTTGCTCCTCCTCTATTCCGCTTCTTTGCCCACCTCTTCCCCCAAGCAATATGGCCTGGGGGACTAGTGAGGCTGGGACCTGGCACTGGCAGCAGGGGTCTAACCCCCTTGTACTCACAGGCAGCAGTGGGGGACTTGCAGCAATAGGAGAAGTTAAGCAAAGTGGCTCCAGCTTGCTCTGCCCTCCAGGCATTTGATCAGGGTAGGAGGCAGGACACCTTCCTCCTCCCCCTACACTCTCCAGAGGAAGAGAGGTGATGTGTCTAGAGGCACTAGAATCCCTATTAGCCCTTGGGCTGCCCAGAGGCTCTGTGCCCACTGGCTGCTAGCTGGCCCCTTACCCCTCCCACCCACAGTGTTTTGGGGCATGTACTCACTCTTCTCCTTCACCCTCCATGCATCATCCCTGGTTTCTACACTGCTGCTCCCTTCATTTGGTAGGGCACTATTTATATGGTCCTCTGTGGTGCTCATGAACCCTGTTTCTTCTGACTCTCCTACAGCAGACTAGCTGATGGCTGAGGTTCTTTCCATGTCATCCCAGTGCTGGCTGTGACCTTCTCTGTCCAGGTGCATCAACTATCTGCCACAACTTCACTCTTATCATCTCCACTGCTGAACTGACACCGAGCCTGTGGCTACCTCAATTGACCTGTGAGAACTGCAGCTTTGTCTGCTGCCTTTTGGTGTTTCTTTGTGTAACTATATGGTGACCTAAAGAAAGGAGATGTTATGCAACCAAGGAACCCTGCTTGCTGAGGAAAATGGGGACATGGGGAGCAAATTATAACTCCATGAGAGAGACATACATGTATGGGCTGAAATATTCTGATTTTCATTATTTGATTTTTCAGCATAAAATCATAGAATCCTAGAACTGGAAGGGACATTGACTGTACAGAAGGTCCCTCATGGCAGGACCAAACAGTGTCTAAACCATACATGATAGATGTCTGTCTGACCTGTCCTTAAATATCACCAGAGATGGAGATTCTACAACCTCCCTAGGCAATTTATTCCACTGTTTAACCACCATGATAGTTAGGAAATTTTTCCTAATGTCTAACCTAAACCTTCCTTGCTGCAGTTTAAGCTCCTTGCTTCTTCTCCTATCCTCAGAGGCCAAGGAGAACATTTTTTCTCTCTCCTCCTTGTACCCGTTCAGATACTTGAAAACTGCTGTCATGTCCCCTCTCAGTCTTCTCCTTTCCAAACTAAACAAGCACAATTATTTTAGTCTTTCTTCATAATTCATGTTCTCTACACCTTAAACATTCTTGTTGCTCTTCTCTGGACTTTCTCCAATTTTTCTACATCTTTCTTGAAATGTGGTGTCCATAACTGGACACAATACTACAACTGAGGCCTAATCAGTGCAGAATAGAGTAGAAGAATGACTTCTCAGGTTTTGCTCACAACATTCCTGTTAATGCATCCCAGAATTGTGTTTGCTTTTTTTGCAACAGTGTCACTCATATTTAGCTTGTGGTACACTATAACTCCTACATCTGTTTCTGCAGTACTCCTTCCTAGATAATAGCTTCCCATTCTGTATGTGTAAAACTGATTGTTTTGCTAAGTGGAGTACTTTGCATTTGTCCTTATTAAACTTCATCCTATTTGCCTCAGACTATTTCAACTAATACAAATTTTTAGCAAAAACTAAAGGTATCTCCTCTCCCAAACAAATGATCATTTAAGGACAAAATCCTTTTCCGACCAGTTCTACCTTTTGAACTTCAAGCACTTCTTAACAGAGTTAGTCAGAAAACAGATTTTTGTGTATCATGAAAAATGTGGAGACTTTGAGAAATAAGAAAAAGCTCAAATTTTGACACAAGCAAAATTTCATATTGTTTTTTGCCAAACAAACTAGTAAAAACATTTATTTTTAGTTTAGTTGAAACATTTCCTTTCAATTTTGACCATTTTTATTTTTATATATAAGAAACAAGATTAAAAGCTCTGAAAAAATGAAAAATTATCTTCCAAAAATATTAAAAACTTTCTTCCAATTTCTTTATCAAAATGTACATGAATTCTTGAAAAAAATAGGTATAATTGAAGCTGCATTTTCTGACAACCATTTCAACACATTTTTGCTACTTCTGATTGATGGCATATCTCCCAAAATGAGAGAGCATAAAAATATCACAAGCAGTAAAGTAAGTTTTCAATTCTTAGAGTCTTTTACATCACTTTTTCCTATCCAACAACATGTTGCTCAACAGGGAAACTCTCCTATGTCTCATTCTGCATCACCTTTCGAGAAATAAAAAGGGGGAAATGCCTTAATTGGAAATTCCACTGAAATAGTGACAAAACAATTCTTTGTGCAATGCCAGAAATGTGACATATGTTCTTACTTGTGTAGCATTTCAATACACAGAGCTGCGAAAAGTTCTAATATCAGTAATTACAATTGAAAAAAATCAAGAATAAAATGGTTACCTATACATTTAATTAATAGGTATGTATAGCTCAGGAATTTTGATTCAGTAAATGACCTTGTTTTTTGATTCCATGCATTTTCTACAGGTAATATTTCTGCCTTATTTCTGCCTGATTTTTTTCCTGTGAACAATGGGAACAAAAGAATAACCAAAACAACAACCCAAAAAAGATTACCTAATGTAAAAATATTTTGTACTACCTTTCAAATCCCTTTCAAGAGTATGCAATTAATGTCCCAATGGCCTATTGTAAAATAAAGGAAAAAAGAGACAACCCTAACAAAAAGATCCGTTGTATATTGTTCAGAGCAGAAAATCTATTCAATCATCTGAATTCTTCTGGGTGTAAAGAAACGCGACTGAGTTTTCAAAAAGAAATAAAATCTAGGGAGAATTGAATCTTTGATCTGAGTCAGTAAGATGAAGAAAAAGCCTTATGTATGTGAAGGGGGTGGAAAATGTGTGTCCTGAAGGGGAAGACTGTTGCATTATGCTATTAGATACAGTGCTTTTATGTATTGTGTACTGACAGGTTGTCAGAGCATTACAATATTCAGCAGAGGAAAGGTGATAAGTAGCTTGTGTCTTTCTAACTATAGGGAGCTGCTCAGATCCCCCAGAGATGGCTTATAGATTTACTTTTTGCAAATCTTATTTGATTATGTTGCACGAGAAATCTTAGAGTCATTTTTATTAACTTTAATTATGTCACCTGTGAAGTTATAGTCTTCATAACATAAAGTAAATGAAATCAGGAAAACGAAAGATTTCTTATGCCATTATTTTGTTCTTCCAGTACCATACGAGCGTAATCCAACCTGTAGAAAAATATAAAATCATTAGATTGAGAATTTGGATTGTTAACTCTTTATAGTGTATGTCCAATATCTGTTCTTGCTAGCTCTCACTTCAACTTCCATTTTACCTTTTTATTATTTCCTTTTATAACTGTTAGTCTGCAAATAATTTCTGGTCAAGAGTGAGAGCTCATCCATTAATCTAACCTTGGACATAAATCCCGCTAACAGACAAATTCCATTAGCCTCAAAATTGTTACTAATAACTGTAAAGGATCATTGAAAACAGTAATGCATTTTGGTTCGTGTATCAATCTTCAGCACCTCAGAAACTAACTATAATGAATGTTAGGTCACCACCTATTGCTTCAATAAAATTTCACCATCAGGACAGCATATTATTAAATCCCGGGCTTCATTTGCAACTTCGAATGCCTACATTAGCCTCCCGAGTTTGAACTAGGGGGCTAGTGTAGACATACCCTGGTAGATTGAAATAGCGACTCAGCATATATGACACTTATAGTAAGTCATTATTCCTCTGATTCTTGGCTATCACTCCATTATGAGAACTGATTTACAGTTATTTCTGGGGTCATAAAATAATGATGGCACGTGTGTAGTTTGTTTCTATTCTAGAAAATGCATAAAATCAAGTTGAAATTTCCATTATATTTTTCACCAGAGTATTTTCCTAAACAAATTATTTACTTCATTACGCAAAGATTATACAGAAGCCAAGATTTCTCAAATATTTTTCATTATTTGGGTTTTGATTTTATTTGTATTAAAGTGAACTTAGTGCAAATTTCTGTGTTGCAGCCCTAGAAATAAATCTCTTCTCTCTCTCACCAGTAATGGGTATAGCGTCCCCCTAGTACATCACCAAGCTTCCTGTGTTGTGTTTGGGAGCATTACTTGAATGGTTAAGGCCCTGATCTTTCTGAATTTTGCATGACTGTAGACTCCCAGTGAGCTCAATGTAAAACAACCTCACAGTTGCTTTATGTTTTGATCAAATGTCTGCTGTCCAAAGAGGCCATTTTGGGGATAACAAGAACACCGTAGGCGGCTTTGTGTCAGCTATACCATCTACATCAGGGGAACTGAGGGAGGGTGGGATTCAAGTCAGCACATATGAAAATATGAGCTTTATGATACCTTTTGCAGTGAAAAGGTGAAGAAAGTGCAAATATCTTCAAAAAATATATTAGGAAAGTGAGGTGAGTAAAGAAATACATAATCTGAAACTTGACATTCTTGTTTGCTTTTAACTAATTGCAACGGGTGTGTCTGGAAACAGCTCATTTAAAAATTTGAACACTTCTTATGTTTTACTGAAAAGTACATGTGGAACTTTTGTAATGTGCAAAATAGTCTGTAAGTGTCAAACTTTTCCAAACATCTTGAACTCTGAGATGAAGCAAGTATGCTCTCATTGTGTGCAGCTTTTTTCATCCATGCTTCAGCATTGACAGAAACATGAGCCTCACCAGAGACCAGAGTTTTGTATTTCAGAGGAGTTACTATTAGGGTAACAGCTGGGAGCTGTTGGAGCCAGCAGTAGCCCCAGCATTGGGTCTGTGGGCAGGAGCCCTGCAGACTGTGAGGGAGTGGAAACATGAGATACCGCTAGTCAATTAAGTAGTTAACCTAACAATTAATCGGTTAACTCAATAACTGGGATTTACATCCCTACTTACCATTCCTTTTCTGTGTAACTTGTTTTGATTTTACAAGGCAGAATCTATTAGCATTTTGACTACTCTCTGATTTCTCTCATCTCTCGAGGCTGCATTTTCAATTTCTAGAGTTGTTAGATATTCTGAGGGTCTTCTGTGGGGCCACTCTTATGTTTTAAGTTGGTATAATAGTGCCAAACAGAAGGCTATACCTTTGTTCAAGTTTTATTTGTAGTACATCACATTTCAGCATGCAAGCCCCAAGCACATTTGGTCCTAAATTAACTTCTGGTATAACACCAGCTTATATCCTGCTTTCAAATCAATTACAGTGCATTCAGTATATATAAAGACAGACATAGCCTTCAATCAATCTGTCTATAGTGTTTGAAATTGATTTAGAATTAAAAAATGCAGACTCTTTCTTATCAAGGAGCTAAGCTTGATAATCTTCACTATTGTAAATTCTTTTATGGTGGGTCTCTCCCAAGATACTTCCCATTATCTTCCTCAAAGTCCCCAAATCAATGCTGTTCAAAGATTTGAAAACTTCTGACTGACCCAGTATTTCCACCCATGACAACCTTAACTCTATATCTTAAAGGTGATCTGATAAAATAAAATAAAATAAAATATAAACACCTCCATGGAAAGCCCTAGAAAATAAGGAGAGAAATTCATGCCTTAGGAACCAGACCTTTGAATTCTGAATGAAGTGCAACTGGACAAAAAAATTGGTATTTTGATAATTGTCAAAATCAGGGGAAAAAATGGTATCGCACTGAAAATAATTTTTCCAATGATTTTATTTCCATGGAGCATTTAATGTTTTAACATTTTAAAAAGTAAGCAAAATTTTGCAACAAAATGTTTAAACACAATATTTTGATAATTTGCTTTTTAAAATTTCATCTTCTTCCACTAACCCTGCCCATTCCCCCCACGACCACAAAAATGTACCAACATCAACACAAATGCAAGTTTTCACCACATAAAGTTTTGGCCAAACCATTTTTAAAACAATTATACAGTATCCCCATTACACCAAAATTAGCAAGTAGGCATTGGAGACAAGCATCATAATCCCATCAGAAGTGGGAGTTGCTCTTTCAATAATGAATGAAAGACAATAGGAGGATGTGCCTTGAAGATGGGAGCAGTTGCTATGTTCACACACTACAGAGTAAATTGGTGAGAGTGCACAAGGTTCCCAGAGTAGTTTATGAGCCTGATTGGATCAGGATACTGTCTCATGAAATCAGCAAGAAGCTAAAACATATAATTATAACCTCTCTCTCTCTCTCTCTCTCGAGCCCAAAAATTAGCAGGTGCTAACAAAGTGTAAAACAATAGATCTGTTTTTTAAAAAACCACTCTGCTAGCTCTTTTTTGGAAGAAGGGCAATAGGTTTTGTGTGTTTGTGTGTGTGTTTTCCATCAAGAGGAAAGAAGAGCTTAGGGACTAGGGCTGAGAGTTACCTTACAGCTGAGCAGAGAAAAATATCAATAATATTAACTACTGATGTTGAAGGCAATGGACATTAAGGCTGTGTCTACACTGGGCCACTTATTCCGGAAAATCAGCCGCTTTTCCGGAATAAGCTGCGAGCTGTCTACACTGGCCCTTGAATTTCCAGAAAAGCAACGATGCTCTACTGTACAAAATCAGCCGCTATTCCGGAAAAACTATTCTGCTCCCGCTCAGGCATAAGTCCTTATTCCGGAACAC